AGCAGCAGGGCCTTGTTGCTATGATTGCCGGTGGTTCGGATGGATTGGGGGTTGTGCCCAGGGCGGCCAACCATGTGAGAATTTTTGAATAGTGAGAAACTCGCTTTTATCTCCATTGCTGCTTTGTCCAATTGTGATGTGTGCAACATCCCAAAGTATGGGTATTCTGTTGTATGCACGTTGTGGTGCGAGAGTGTATGGATGCTGAATGTCTCACTGTCCAAGATAGATAAATGAGCAGATGTGTGGGTGCTTATAGGCACAATTTTGGGGAACGCTGGGTGTCGACCATCTGCATGGATCCATGAGTGTGTTGGATTTCCCTCCCTTCCCCGTACACTTTTTCAATCCCGGCACCACGTGTATGCACGGGATCGACGCTAAACTCTTTTCCTCCCCTCTCCTCGCACATGTAGAGGATCCGGGCCAAATGGGCTGGTGTCGCCCCCTTTTCCCCTTCCCTCGACTTACGCTCGACAACCGTGGAGATCAGTCGCTCGCATCTCTGCAACGCGGCTGATATCTCTGCGACTCGATCAAGGTCACCTTCGCCCTGGTAACTAATGGCGATCATGACGACGGATCGCTGAACCTGCATTCGGGTTGACGCACACACACAGAGAGAGAGAGAGAGAGAGAGAGAGAGAGAGAGAGAGAGAGAGAGAGAGGAGTTCCATTGACCTTTGCATGGAGTCCGCGTTCATCTCAACGGATGCGAGCGCAGGTCGTTGCCCGTGCTCGACCTTTGCGTCGGTCCATCGCAGTGCGCTACCGTCCTTCCCGGTCGCAAACGACAATAGCGTGTACTGCGATGAGGATGTACGGAACACGCTGCGATGAACGGAGCAAATTCATTTGTATAACCCCACCTAGTCCTGCCACATAGGAGGGAGTGGGTTTGTGCTGATTGACCGTTTCTCTTCCCCTCCCTTTATCCTACCGTACACCGATCTGACAGTGTTACCCTGGTCCACGGCCCACACCACGTGGCGACCTCGGTTTAACTGCCGCTAGTGTTACCAGGGAGATTCGTGCTCCTGGCGAAGACTAGTCCTGCGATACGAATGTGCAGCTCGATTCGCAGAACTCTCCCGCAACGCAAGCGCGCCCCCGGCTACCTTCTGGACCCGGGTTCCCCCAACAACGCCTATTCTAAGCGACGCCGCTCCGGGACCCTCATGTGGGCTTGATGAATCCGACATCGAGGCCTGAAAAATCCGTGCCTGTGGGGCTTCCGCCACTGAGTTAGCGTGAACCTAGCACGAAAGGAGTGGTGAATTCTGCTTCCCCCGGTTCTTTTCCATTCTCCTTCTGGTTTTTACCGATAGTCGGTCGGGCAGCACGTTGTTTGCCGCCCCCTCGGCCGAGCATAAGTTTTGAAAGTCGGACATAACCTGCCATTTTGAAATAACCCCTTTTCCTTCCTTGGTCTCTCTCTTTTGCCGTTGACGACGGCCCAAATTCAAGACCTGCCTCGGTACGAAACAAGAATCCCCCGTTCCACCCGGGCGATTCAACCCCACCGGCCAAAAATCCTCCGCCTTACCCCCATTCACTCTGATCGACGTTCACAGGTACAGAACGAAGGGTGGGGTGCGAGGTTGGGCGTGTCACAAGTGTGCTCTTTAACGGTTGTGTTTTCTCCCTGGGGGCTGCTGCTCTTTTCATGTTTGTCCACCTGCATCACTTCGGCACTTGAGGCGGAGGTTCCTCATGTCCTTTCAGATCGAGGGTTGGGGGTTGGAAACGGGTGAGTACAACGCTGCGTAGTTTATGACAAATATCTTGCCAGTTGACCCCTCTGGCAGGCCCTGCATCAGAACGATCTCAAGGTTTGCACTGCTTTCCAGCATGGGAATCAGTGCCCTATACACCCCATTCCAAAATTCATCGTTTCCTATTCCACATTTCAGGTGGAGGCTTTCCATCAGCCAATCCCCCACTCCTTGCAGGCCAACTTCCGGTGACCGGCTGTCCCTGTGCATCAGTCATTTCTACCTCGCGGGGGTGGGGGGGGGGGCGGGGTTTATCTCTATTTCCATCGGTGCTGGACCGAAGGCTTCCTCAAAGAAGTCCTTCAGGTTTTGGTTTTCCTCTGTGGGGTCGCTACAGTCTCCCTACCCTCCCTTTAGGGCCGCAGAAATGTCTTTTGTTTTATGGGATGTGCTAATTGTGTCGGTTGTCTTATTCTTGAGATTCAATACCCCTTGCTGCTCATTCGATCAGTCTACAGCTTTCCGGTCGGCGTATTCCATAGCTGCTGGACCCAAGCCATGTTTTTTCTGTTTCTTGTACAGCTGCTTGGGTGGCAAGTTTGGGCGCTTGTCTTTCCCTTGGGGGGGAACATGCAGTTTCGGGTCAGGTGTTTTCACTTCTGGGTCCTTGGCAGGAGGAAGGACCTTTTCAGGCTTCTTGACCTCTTTTCGAAGAGGGGGGCAGGCTCCAGTCGTTTGGTGGCCTGGTGGTCCTGCACAGGTCCCCGCGTCCCTCCCACATCCAACCTTTGGCCTGTCCTTTGGGATCAAGATCCTCTAGATATACCCACCCCTCATGGCCCTGGTCCACTGTGTACCACCTGTTGGGACTAAGCGGGTCTCAATGGAGGCTCTGTTCTGGCTTCTTAATACTTCTTATTATTCTGTCTTCCATTCTCCCCTGTCACCATCACCTACCTGCTCCACCTTCCAGACTCCTTTCGCAACCAAACACAACTACCATCCTCACCCGAATAGAACGCCCGTTCATTATCACTGGTACCTGACTCGAAGGTGCCCCAAATACAGCTATTATAATGGCCGGGTGATCTATTCGAGAGAAGAAGGTAGAGCAGTGGTCATGTTCACGAGTCACCGCTGGCATCCAGACTCATTGGTGATCCACCTACCGGACCATTTCCCGATTTCTACGTGCCATCTTTGTCAAAGGGGCCATGCGAATCTAGTCTGTCGCATTCCAAATTTAATGGCCGCCGGGATTCTCTATAGACTGGAGCATTTGTCCTACAAAAAAAAAAAAGAAAAAAAAAGGGATTCTCTAGTGAGAATGATGACAATCATCGTAAGCAACACCCGCTCACGCTGGCAGTCGTCCCGCCAGCTCCCTCCCTACCCACACCCCGCAGGAAAAAAACAAGAGGCGTGAAAGTTGAAACGACATCAATGTCTAAATTTCGTTAACCGCATATCAAAATGTCATGATGCAATATTCACATATCCATGCATCCATTTATTGATCACGGCGAACATGTTACAAAACAATGGCAGTAACCGCATCCATAAAGCGACGAAATTAATACAGAGACTTAGCAGGACGAGAAACGAAACGACTTCTTCACATCCTCTCTCTCTCTCTCTCTCTCTCTCTCTCTCTCTCTCTCTCTCTCTCTCTCTCTCTCTCTCTCTCTCGTGGAGGCAAAACCTCATCGATGAAGAAGGTAGAAGGGAGCTGAGCCACACAGGGGCTCAGGTGGCATCAGGAGGAAGACGGATAAATGAAGTGAATACAAGGGCATACTCACACTAGGAGTTTTAACACCGAATCTGGTCGTAATTACGGACCGCTGGATCCAAGGTAGTTAATTTTGTGAATATATGCCCTTGTCCCCTCCGTCTTCTTTTCCAAAAGTACTTCACTCCTCCAATCCATCCTCCTCAAAGGGCATACTCACACTAGGAGTTTTAACACCGAATCTGGTCGTAATTACGGACCGCTGGATCCAAGGTAGTTAATTTTGTGAATATATGCCCTTGTTCCCTCCGTCTTCTTTTCCAAAAGTACTTCACTCCTTCAATCCATCCTCCTCCATTCCCTCGCTACTCTCTCATCAGACTCTCCCACACCCAACCCGTTGTTGTGCCATCGGAACAGACTTCGGTGACATATCCTTCTTCGCCAAAACATAGTTAGTAGCTTTTCCCGTAATTTCCCGTCCGACGATACAGGGAAGATTAGCATGGGGCCCCTGCGCAAGGATGACACGCATAAATCGAGAAATGGTCCGACTTTTTTTTTTTTTTTTTTTTTGTAAGTTTCCCATCTGAGACTGTACTCACCCAAAAATCTCTGCATGGCCACAGGGAGCTCCCCAAATCACATCACAAAAGCTGCGACAGACACGACAAACGGTGTTACGAACTACTACCAACCGGCCTAGCTCCGTCGGTAGTACACCCGATGAACTTTTTGAAATACCTACCCAAAGTAACCCAGGTTCAAATCCCAATGCAATCTATCAGATAGATACACAGAACAAAATAATTCTGAATTTTCTGGAGCCTTTCAAACTCACTCATCCAAGGGAGATAGCAACTACAGGAATAGTTGCAAGAGAAGAGAGAAACTGCAGAGAGATCATCCAAGTGATGAAACCGTTGAAATACAGAACGATCCCGATGCAATCAGGGGGTGATCGGGGCAAGGTCCCACTAGCAAAGAGGATTGGATTGAACGCCTTTGTGGAAAGGTGCACAAAATGGATATTGAACTGCTTTTTCTGAATTTGTGCGTGAAACACGTCCAGATTCAGGCGTTCCATCCAATCCTCTTTGCTAGTGCGACCTCGCCCCAGATGAACAGAACATGTAATCGTACGGTGATACTGAATTTCCTGGGACCTATCAAAATCATCAAGGTCAGATATAAAAAAATATATATATATAGAAATAGTTGGAAGTTAGAAAGAGAGAGACTGTGTCCTTCGGGACATCCGTTAAAATTGGAACGATACAGAGAAGATTAGCATGGCCCCTGCGCAAGCAAGGATGACACGCATAAATCGAGAAATGGTCAAAAAAAAAAAAAAAAGAAAGAAAGAGAGAGACTGCAGAAATCATCCAGGCGATCGATGGCCCGGCATTAAAAAAATCTACAGAGCCAAGTTTTTCAAGTCCCGATTCACTGAGATGAACAGAACAAAAAAGAGTTTTGAGTTCCTTGGGACCTATATAAATCATCCCAGTGATAAAAACTAGACAAATAGTTGAAAGAGAGAAACTAGAGAAATGAAAAATAAGAATTTATCCAAGTGGGCCTGGCATAATCTACATGTCAAAAAACGCGCAGCCAAAAAAAAAAGGGACGTTTGCAGCCCTAACTCGAACCCAGCCCAGGGCAAAACTTCATCCAGTACAGTCCTACCCCCTCGTGTACAGGTACATTGTTTTTTAGAATGGAGTGGATCTGGTCATGATGGTTTAACAGGTGGGTTCATCGCCACAGAGGAGGAGGGCATAAAGGCAGAATGACTGCAGAAGAATAGAAAATAACAAATTACCCTCCATGCAAAGGGGTCTCATTTGAGACATCCAGAATTCAGAGAGGCACGCTGCTCGTGTCAGACCGCAGAGCCATAGGAGCCCTTTCAAAGAAGTGTGGTAGAGGAAAAAAACAGGCGAGGACCCCTTCCTTCCCTTGCACTACTAATTATAGCCTTTGTCCAAGTTTCGACACTTTCGTATACTAGCTAACAAGGAATCAGGGAGCGAGGGCGCTTTTTGCTGTCAACAAACTCAGCACAAGCCACAACACCAAAAAGAACGAGCATTACTACAGCGGCCCACTACTCGTGTCAGTAGTACACAGAGATAGGAGCCCTTTCGAAGAGTGTGCTCTCAGAGGGGAAAGAAAGAGGTGAGATCCCTTACCCTTGTGCTACTAATTCGCCTTCCGACAGCTTTTGAGTTTGTATGCTACTAACAAGGAATCAGGGAGGGAGGGAGGGAGCATTTTGCTGTCAACAAACTTGGCAGAAGCCACAGGGCAAAACAGAATGACCGTTACTACCGCGGCCCGCTACGCGTACCAGTACACAGAGATAGGAGCCCTTTCGAAGAGTGTGCTCTCAGAGGGGAAAGAAAGAGGTGAGGTCACTTACCCTTGCACTACTAATTCGCCTCTCGGCAGCTTTTGAGTTTGTATACTAACAAGGAATCAGGGAGGGAGGGGGCTTTTGGCTGTCAACAAACTCAGCAGAAGCTGCAGCGCAAAACAGAGACTGCCTGCTACTACTATTCTATGGCCTGGTTGCCCAGTACTTTAGTCAGAGCTCCATTTTTTACCTTTAAATTTGAGAAAGAAATGGACCTCAACAGCTTCAGCAGTGAAAGAATTATTGCATCTCAGCTTCCAAAGCGGTCGTCAGATTCGTCGCTGAACCTTTCTCTTCTGACAAGAATAAGGAGCTAGCTGTGGTGAGAACACTCTACTTGTTGTGTTACTGGTAGCCACAAAAAAAAAAAAAAAAAAAAAAAAACGGAAACCCGGGAGGGGCTTCGCCCCCAGCTAAGGAGTCAGGGTCGACTGCCTGATGACTCAATGGTACATACTACAAAGTTAATACAAACCTACAATCGATGATGAACAAGTCGTAATTTGCGAGTTCGAATCTGATCCTGACCATACTAAGGCGTACACGCTTATTTCAGGAAAAAAGAAGACAACGACGAATACTTGCAGTCGACCGAAACACGCAAGTTGAGGGAGAGAAAGGGGGGGCTACGGCACTGACCCCCTGCCAGGTTAAGCAGGGAAAGAACAGGAACGACGAGAGCACATGGGATGACGGGAAGGGACGGCAGGCAGGCTGCGTACAGACCTTCCTCCCTTGCGGCCACCTTTGGACATGGGTCAAAAGACTCAAAACTGGTTTTTATTTGCCCATCAGAGACCCATGCTATTGGACTGATCCAAACACCTGTCAACACTGGGTGTCAGTGGGTGATATATTAGACCCATGTCCGATGTGATGTCAAATTGTGTGCGCAGAGGTACAAGGGGCAAACACAGCTCTGACTGGCTTCGAGCAACTCCGACCAAATACATATGCTAATGCTCTACCCATCGAAAAGGAAAGGTATGTTCTAATGAGCTGGTTGCGCATGACTGGAAACACAGCAATGGCTGGTTGCGCATGACTTGGGCAAAAGTCCATCGGCGCCCTACACAGCAGTGGGCTGGCTGGTTGTGCATGCTAGGCTGTTTTTCCGGGCGCCCGGGCACCCAACTTCGGCCCGGATACACGCCCGGGCGTCCGGTTGGCTAGTTGCATATGACTCGGGCAAAAGTCCGGCAATGCCCTACCCATCAAAGAGCGAAAATGGGCTCTAATACAGAGAAACGATGTTGAATTTCACACCAGGTTGTGCCGAGTTACAAGGGGGAAATGCGGCTATGGCTGGCTGCTGCACCTGACTGGAGCGAAAGTAGGTCAGGACTCGAGCAAAAGCGTGTCAGGACTGAAGCAAACGTATGTCAATGCCCTACCCATCAAAGAGGGAAGACGTGTTCTACGGACAATGCAGTTGTCCAACTCGAGCGGCTACTGCGGTAAATGCCGACAGATCACCAGCTTCACCTGGTTGTCGCTGATATGATGAGGAAACCTGTGACCGTGATGATGATCGCATAGGGATGACCGTGATGATGATCGCATAAGGATGACCATGATGATGCAACGTCGCATAGACCGCAAAGTCGCGCAAACCAATAAATGTACAACTTGATCACCATGTCATCTGGTTGCTGAGGAAGGTGGTGGTGGTGGTGGTGGTGGTGACGATGGCGGTGACGACAATGACGACGATGGCGGTGACGACGATGACGACGATGGCGGTGTCGACAATGACGACGATGGCAGTGGCGACAATGACGACGATGGTGGTGACGACAATGACGACGATGGCGGTGACGACAATGACGACGATGGCGGTGACGACAATGACGACGATGGCGATGACGACAATGACGACGCTGAGGGTGCCGATGGTGATGCAACCTCCCGTACACGGTAAACTGGCCTTGCTTGTGATTCAAAGTAAGTGCGAACAGAGATTTCCGCCACCAGGCCAAGCAGGACCATTTGCAAGCCGCCGAGAAATAGTTCCAGACCGAGGACCATTGTTGGAACGGCACTGGACCATGCCAGCGTGAGGCCCCAGATGCGTGCGTTCCGGAGCATGGTAACGATGCCTGACGCTCCACAAATTGATGCAGCACACATAAAGAACAGCCCAATCAACCCGAGAAATTGGATAGGTCTGTCGCGAAACTTGGAAAGAAAGAGCACAGTGACCAGATCCAGAAGAACCCTTGGGGTTCGTGTAAGTGCACCGTACTTGGACTTGCCAAATGGCCTTGGATGGTGACGAATCTCAAGCTCTGTGATTGCTGCACCCTCAATCGCAGCAAGAGCAGGAATGAACCGATGCATCTCTCCGTACAAACGAATGGTTGAGATGAGAGATGCCCTATAAGCTTTTAAGCTACAGCCGTAGTCGTGAAGATACACACCTGTGACCGCTGCAATCAAGCGATTAGCGATTCGCGATGGCAGATTCCTCAAGATTGCATTGTCCTTGCGCTTCCGCCTCCATCCGCAGACCAGATCATAACCCCCATCCTCTCGAACAGTGCCTGTTCCAACGAATACCGGGCTGCGACCCCCTTCTTGCCGCCGCCCCCATGCAGCCATCCTGTCCCTCATAACAGTATGCTCGCCACCGATGTCCCAACTTAAGTCCTCCCTCTCCCTTTTCCCGTACAACAGGCAGTCAAGCAAGCGTGGTATATCATCCGCGTCGTTCTGCAAATCCCCGTCGAGCGTGACTATAAACTCCCCGGCCGCACTGTCAAAGCCAGCTGTCATAGCTGCCGTTTGTCCAAAATTCCGCCGAAGGATGACCACAAGAAGGTCATCCCGTTCTGCAGCCATTGCCTTCAGCAGGCGAGTGCTGCCGTCCGTAGAGCCATCATCAACACAGATGATCTCATATCGCCATCCACATCTCCTCATAACCCCAGCCACTCTCTCCACCAGGATCGCAATGGCGCCCACCTCGTTGTAGACCGGAATGACTATAGAGACCAAGTGACTCTGTCGCAACTGGGATCGCAGCGCATCACCCTTGGCAGCAGCAGACACGAATGGTGCTGACGGAGAGGTGGGAGCACGACCTGGAATCGGCGGTGGTGAGAGATGACCCTCTACCTCCTCTCTGTGTCTTCTCTCCTCTCCCTCAAGTGAATGGCTTGTGCTGGCCCACTGTGTCCAGGAGCGCCCTTTCCTCAGTGCCAACGGCCTCCATCCAGAGAACACAGGACCCAATCCTAGGGCGACCCTGCCATCGCATCTCAAGATGCCATGCGATGGGCTCATCGCGGAGCATGCCACATCGTGGCTCCGAGGCTTCGACCTCCCTTCGTGTCGATACAAGCTGCATAGTGGCTGCACGCTGGCCAAGGAACATGCCGACATTCTGTTGTGCAGGGGAGTACCAGCTGTGACACCAGCCTCTGCCAGTGACGAATGCACTGACGCAACAACCAGCCCAGCGATCCCAGCACCGCAAAAACGTTTGGCTCGTTTTTTCTGTTTTTCACGCCGTGAGCTTTGTCGTGCTCGCTCCTCACCACCGCCTGACCGCCTCCTTATCTGCATACTAAGAAGTCATTGCAGGCACACACAGGAACCAAGCCGAGTTCGCAGGAAAAATTAGTGAATGTTGAAGTAGCTTGCATCCCTCCCTTGTTGGACCAAACTGATAGACAAGGGCATGCCAAACCCCCAAATTCACACGTAAGATCACCAGCACCACCTGAGATGATGCTGCAGGGTACACACCAACAGACCAACAGTTCGACTCCTGTCCAGTTCACGGATTTTTATAGGCTATAGACGCTACGCCCTCGTCTTTAAAAGCTTTGAACTTTAAAGTTTAAAAACAGAACAAAAATAAAGCCGATGGTGTGCCACTAATAACGAAACGAATCATGTTCCTTGCCAACACGCTGACCCTCCTCGCAACAAAGCCCTTTTAGCCCCTCGGCCCTAAAATGGAGGTTGTAAAAGCACTTAGAAAACCACTGACCCGTCGCAGTCCTTTTGACCAAATAAAAATAAGTCCGCACCGCTTATGGGACACTATGTCATAATGACTACCCATCGGATCCTTCTCATTGTGTTCCCATCGTGACAAGTACCAGGCAGTGACCCTGCATTTGCTGCACCCACACACCAAAGCTGCACCAGCTCCGTTGTCCGCTGGATGACTAAAAGAAAGAAGAACAAGAAGAGACAAGTACTGTAGCTCATAGGCAGCTCTCCTGGCCGTAGTGGAGCAGACTTGTCTTCCTTGCAGAATGGCTGCAGATGGCCAAGCCTGCTCTGGGAATGCCTCTGATTCCCAGCCAAGCCCGGGGATAGTGAGAAAGAGACGGAGATGATGGCAAGCGGATGAGCAGGCATGTGTGTGTGAGAGAGAGAGAGAGAGAGAGAGAGAGAGAGAGAGAGAGAGAGAGAGAGAGAGAGAGAGAGAGAGAGAGAGAGAGAGAGAGAGAGNGAGAGAGAGAGAGAGAGAGAGAGAAAGAGAGAGAGAGAGAGAGAGAGAGAGAGAGAGAGAGAGAGAGAGCAGGCACTTGACAGGTCATGAAAGAGTCCTGGCTGAAATGTAAAAGAATAAAGTTGAGCAGGATAATGTCAGTTCTACCTAGCAATGTCCTCGTGGCTAAAGCGCACATATCCTGGTGTTAGCTGCCGACTGTCAAAGGTAAAGCTTTAAGTGTCCACTGCAGCTGCTCTTGAAAGACTGTGTCTGCTGCAAAGCTCACGTTAGGGCAACTTGAGACACAAAACTACTGAGGAGGACAGCGAGGAGATAGTAAACGATCAAATTCATTTGGGGCCAACGGTGGTTTGGTTCAGCCTTGGAGCAACTGGATAGTCTGGAAATCCCAGCAAAAATCATGGATCGGTGGCAGAATCGATCTCCTGACTAAGACGAATAACCATACAAGGACACAAATGAGTATGCATGTGCAGACTGCAGCTGTCTGGTGCGCGAACGGTACCCTCTACTGCCAAGATATAGTTGTTGAATATCACTAACACAGCAAGTATGAAGGCTGCTACCTTGGGGCTGTGAAACCGACTACAGAATCACAGATGATGCATCCATCTGTGCGTTGTTGGACATGTTCCACGATGCAGACCCCAAATTCGAATATCAGGGTCACGGTCTCAAGCCAAGGGAGGCCAAGTCGGGGGCCAGTCTCAGAAAAGTCACAGTCGGGTACCTTAGGAGTCAAGTCCAACAGCCACCCCGGTAAACAGTCGTCACATCCCAAAGGCAAAAGTTGCATTCTGTAAGCAAAAGTCACGTCGTCTCATATTGAAAAGTAATGTCCCACAGGCAAAGGACACTTCTCGAGGCAAAAGCCGTGTTTGTCCCAAAGGCGAGAGTCACAACCCACAGTCAGAAGTCATGGTCCACAGATGAAAAGTCGTGACTCACAGGCCCAAGCAGCAGCCCACCAGTGAAAATCCGGCTTCACAAAGAGGAGCAGTGGCACACTTTTTCCATTTATTTCTTCGGAGAGAAGAGCGCGAGAAGGGCAAAGAGGAGGGGCGAGGTGGCCATGGCGCGCTTCTCCCATTCATTGCCTTGGCAAGTAGACGAGGAGAGGAGGAGGAGAGACGAGGGGATACATTTCTTTTGAAAGGAGAGAGAAAAGTTTCACAGAATCCTCGTCAACACCGTCAGTTCATCAGACTCCCTTTCGCCCTAGTGAAATAATTTACCCATCATCTAACCACCAGAGACAGCTAATGACAATGGTGTAAGATGATTCAACCATCAACATTGACAGCATGATGCATGGTAGCAAAAGACAAACAGTGCCCATACCCGGCTTACTTACTATACATCAAAATAGGCAAGAGAGCGTGGTCATTGCTGCCGAAAAATACAAGGTAATTTTAAGAAAAGCTGAACATCTACAATGAACAGCTCCACCTTCCTTACCCTCCTGCCTGTAAAGAAACCCCCCCCGCTTCCATTCGCGGGCGAAGCCCGCAACACGTCATCTCTAGTAAACAGGAGAAGTTTCAATCCTGCGCCATACATGAGGTTAGGGGCTACCCCCCCCCCTTCTAGAAATTGGAATTAAAGTCCTGCAAACTGAAGCTGGGATGATATACGCTCGAGAACCAGTAGCAGAATCGCCTACAAGATTTCAGAGCTGCACTGGAGAAGAGCTTCAGTCACTAACACACCATGCTGTCGACTCGTAACATACATAGTGCCCCCCCCTTCCTCTCTTGTTGCCTTTATGACAACAAGCTCCCTCTTCTTTTTCACTAGCCCCCACCCACTCTCTCGTTTCCATCCAATCAGAACCGACCCGGGAACCAATGAAAAGCTGGGACGAGTCGGGTGAGTGCTGAGTTTAATAGAGGCCTGAATAGACTGGATGTACTCAGTGGACTGCTTGGACTGAATAGACGGGGACAGGATAGAACATGACAGGATCATCCCACTTGCCTATACTTCACCTCATACGCACGCCACCAAGTACGATCCTCAAGGTCACAGCCAGTATTGCGCCCAAAGAAATGTTCAGCACATTGGCCAGGTCATTTGTCATCTGCATCATCACACGAAGAAAGAAAGGTACAGACGGATTAAAATTGAAAACGATCAAATTCATCGCATAAATCAACTTCAGGCAGCAAAAGTATCTCAGACCACATCCATTAGCGTAGATATCCACACTCAGATATCCAGGGAACTGTTGTCCGACCACATATCCGGAATTCGTTACCTGCGATTCTAATGAGAAGAACTTGAGAGGGAACCCTCCTCAGCCAAAACTCATTTGTGTTGCAGTCCTCCACAAGGACCACAACCCTTTTTTTGTTTCAGTTTTTTTTTCCCCTTTTGTCTGTTTGTTTGTTTGTTTGTTTGTTTGTTTGTTTGTTTCTCTGTTTGTTTGTTTGTTTCTCTGTTTGTTTCTCTGTTTGTTTGTTTGTTTGTTTGTTTGCTTGTTTGCTTGTTTGTTTGTTTGTTTGTTTGTTTGTTTCGCCCTTCTATTTCGCACAGCACCGAACAAACCCGTTCGGACCAGGCACCAGTCCTAAGACGGTCCTCCCTCTTACGAGGAACGAGGTGGCTGTCTTTGCCAGAAGGGGTGTCACGCAGAGGTTGGTGGAGAGGTGAGTATGAGCCAAACGTTCTTATAAGTTGTATTGCTATACGCTACAGTCTGGATTGTGTCTGGGTGAGGCACGCCTGTCGAGATCCCAACCCGCCTGTCGAGATCCCAATAGCAATGGAATAGGCCGTTTGAATTTTCCCGGAAGTTACAGGGCAGGCCCATTACCAAAGCCTACCCAGTCTCCTTTTGGGGCCCAAGTTTGGCTCTGGGTCCTTGAGGGGGTCTTTGGCTGGCAGCTGCTTGAAGAATTTTGTGGGGCCTCTACTCCCCCCCCCCCCCCCCCCCCCGGCTCAAAACATAGCCTGCATTATCTGACCATCGACCTTGTTGACCAATAGACAGATCAAATGTGGCCACAGCCGGTGTTTGAATGCGGGCCATTCCTCATTACTACTAAGAACGAGGCGGCCAACCACAGGTACAACACGGCTCACAAGTAGGGAAGGGGCAGAGAGAGGTGGGGATGTCTTTTGCACCATTCAGGATGTGAACTCATGGGGGGAAAGAAACAAATATCACTTTTAAGTTCCCATGCAAAAGAAAAATGGTGATATCGCCGAGGCAAGCCCTCGACCATTCACGATTTGAGCTCATGACCTGTTTGTACAATTCAGGATCTGAAGTCCCTAGATCCCCCTCCCAAAGCCATCCACTACCACCTGGCCTGGCTGCTAAGAAAGATAAAAAAATGACTGTAGTGCGCCCCCATCAGAACGTAACTGAACACAAGAAAATTCCGCTCCGCGCATACAAATCTTAGAAGGGCACCAAGGTCATTCTGTAAAAAAGACGTCGGAGAAAATAAATAAATAAATGAATAAATAATTTAAAAGAAATGAATAAAGAAATGAATAAATAAATAAATGGATAAATAAATGAATAAATAAATAAATAGAAAGGGTGACGGCTTTGACACTGAGCTATATCATCATCGAACTGACCGGCCCTGGCCCCTAGGTGATTCACAATCCATTTGTCTGGTTCCATCCGGATTCGAACTCGGGTCTGTATTACAACAGTTCATGGGTGTCGCAACTGAGCATCGCCCTGTTGGTCACTGAGGACATTCCGGTATGTCTGAGGTCCAGTCAGAGTGTACGTCTGCCTTGGGACTCAGAACAATACGAAGAAATTAAGATTGTCCGTTCTCAGTTGTTGTGGCAAAGGCACTTGGGCCAAGAAGAGCTGATCCCGGAGAGGAAAATCGAGACAGGCTGCAACGGGGACATGACATGGGGGGTAGGGAGTTGGGAAAGAAGAGGAACCGGCAGAATAGGCAGGCAAGGAAAGGTAAAATACCCATTCTGTTCCCTCTCTCCCCTGCAATGTCGCACCCAGGTAGCTCTCGAAGAGATTTGCAATCTGCGATGCCAGCACACAAAGAAGTGCTCCCTGGACATTCACCTAACAATGCAAAATCAAGACAACCAAAAGCATTTACCCATCCAGTAGTCAAAAACTCACAAACTCCAATCCAATACAGAAATCTCGAGGCCACAACCGGACGCAGTGAACTAGCTGCAGGGGAAGAGAGAGAGAGAGATTATGGCACAGCAAACAAAACTATTTCCCCTGTTCAGGAAGTGCAGAACTCCAGACCATGGCAGAGCCGTCACGGTGTGTTTGTGGGTTTGTGTGCTTGCTTGTGTGTTTGTGTTCATGTCTTTGTCTGTCTTTGTGTGTCTTCGTGTGTCTTTGTGTGTCTTTGTGTGTGGCATGTGTGTCGTTGTGTGGCATGTGTGGCATGTGTGTCGTTGTGTGGCATGTGTGTTGTTGTGTGTCTTTGTGTGTGTTTGTGTGTGTTTGTGTGTCTTTGTGTGTTTTTGTGCGTCTTTGTGTGTTTTTGTGTGTTCATGTGTTTGTGTCTTTGTGTGTCTTTGTGTGTCTTTGTGCGTCTTTGTGTGTCTTTGTGTGTCTTTGTGTGTCTTTGTGTGTTTTTGTGTGTGTTTTGTGTGTTTGCATAGAGTAATTTAGCAGCGTTCTGACGCTCAAAGTGGACAGACACAATCAGCTGAGCTGAAGGTTTCCCCAGAGTAAGCCTAACCTGCCCACTAGTGCTGGCACAAATGTCTGATAACTGTTTCTGTACTCTGTACTGAAATATACACTGTGCTTGGTGACCTTACTAGCTTGATGAGTGGGTAAGTACTCTCTTGATGGGTGGGTACTTCGACTCATAATATTGCATGGAATCCAGGCCTAGTTCGTTACGGCTGCAGGGACTCGATTCAAAAACAATAAGGCAACCACCATCAGGTTGCGGCAACCCTCAGCCGTGATCCCAACTGACTATTCAACCAGGAAAAAACGTTTCTCTCACTCTTTCGGAAGTAGCATACTAATCGTACTGAATTTCTGCAAGTGAAAACTGAGCCCCCCTTTAGCCCTCTCCCCCTCACCATCGGGTTGCAGTAACCCTGAGGCGTGATACCAACTGACTCTATTTCTGCGAATGAAAATTGAGGCCTTCGTTAACCCTCTCCCCCCCACCATCGGGTTGCAGTGACCCTCAGGCTGCAGTACCAACTGACTATTCAAGCAGGAAAACATGTTTTTCGAACTTTTTTCTCTTGCTCTCCCGAGCATAATTGTACACAGTTCGCACAGCTGAAGTCAGGATTTCCTTGTTCTTTATTTAGGGCACGTACCTGATTGATGGCGAGTGCAGCTGCGCTCATGACAGCCGCCGCAGCGACCCCTGCCGCTGTGCCTTCTACGCTCACTGCCCCCTCCGTTCCCCTAGGCACTACGCTCATCGTCGTCACAAGGTAACTGCAAGCTTGCGATCGCAAGAAAACCAACAACAGTAGATACAGATGACAGATGACATGTGCCGGACCCTCATCAGTTCCACACAAATACACTACATCAGCACCACTAAATACCAGTCGATCGTCAAACCCACACGAGAACCGTGATGTTAGACGTCACCCTCGCCCCCCCCCCCCCCCTCTTCCCACGCACCCCGCACCCCCGCTTTGCTGTGCAACCTGTCACTTGCCACAATGCAACAAACGCCACAAGGCTCGTCAATTCCAACACCCACATCGATCTACCAGACGTGTACAAGTAAAATCGCAAAGAATCAGCTGGCCGGAAGTAGGAGTGAAAACACACGAATGCGCCATGCACAGCATGCCAGGTCACAGTGCACCATGGACCATGTACCAGATGACATCACGCTCTGTATATATCTGTACCTTGCATTGGTCCCGGTACATCCAGCAATTCACTGAATGGCTGGCTGCACCTGGTGTGTTGGTCGCAACACATTCATAATTTTTTGTCAGCCCGAATTGTCTCTGGATCACCAGGAAGGCCAGATACATTTAGCGATGCTCTGCAGAGGAGAGAGGCCCCGTGGCAAGTCCAATATGCACGGACGCCCATACTGAGACCACCCAACTTACCTCAGGCTCCAAAAAATCAGCCTACTTCCGACCTGACCAACTTTCAACACCCAACCAAGTTCCAACCCACAGCCGAGTTCCAAACCAGCTGAATTCCGAACCAAGTTCAAACCCAAACCCAAGTTCCATCCCAGCCAAGTTCCAAGCCAGCTGAATTCTGAACCAAGTTCCAACCCGAGTCCAACCCGAGTTCCAAGTCAACCGAGTTCCAACCCAAAAAAGTTCCATCCCAGCCAAGTTCCAAACCAGCTGAATTCTGAACCAAGTTCGAACCCAAGTTCCAACGCGAGTCCAACCCGAGTTCCGAACCAAGTTCCAACCCAGCCAAGTTTCAAACCAGCCGCAGTTCCAAAACAGCTGAATTCTGAACCACGTTCCAACCCAAGTTCCAAACCGAGTCCAACCCGAGTTCCAAACCAGCCAAGTGCCAACCCAAACAAATCCAAGTTCCATCCCAGCCGCAGTTCCAAACCAGCTGAATTCCGAACCACGTTCCAACCCAAGTTCCAACCCGAGTCCAACCCGTGTTCCGAAGCCAACCAATGGACAAGCAACATGCATGTACGTACTGCTGTGTGTGATGTTTTGTGAAACCGATGGGTCTACCAGTTAGGAGGTAGTGGGTTCGATTCCCCGCACCGTCCATTCAAATTCCCACAGGCTCCTGTTGCGGTGGGCACTGCCGGTTCACCAACTGAGATAGATAGTCAGCTCGCCCGCCCTGGAGGGATGCATCCGGTCCCTCCCAGTCATTGCCAGGGGTCAGGTTCAGCCCTGAGGGGATTGGCTCAACCCTGAGGGTATAGGTAGATGGCGTAACCCATAACCCTACGTTAGCCTCACTAGATGTAGCTATGGATATGCGGGATTGCTGGCCGATACTGGTCCCGGTTGGATGGGTAGCTAGTGTAAGGATAATTGAGAGAAGAAAATAGCGTATAGTAGAAATACAGCTGTCCCCCATATATGAGGAGAAGATAACCGTATTCTGAAAAAAACAAAAAAAAAAAACAAAAAGATAGGAAACGGACTGGTGCTCCCCAGAATGGATACGGAGCCGGGGTCATCAGGCGCTGTTTTTCTCAACAACAAACAAAAAAAAAAGATAGGTACTCTTCAGAAGTGCTCAGCGGGACACAGATAGTGTGGAAGGTGCACGCGTAGTGACGGAGGTGGATGAGTTGGAGTGCAGAGCCAAAGTGCACACAAGTCCACAGCTGACCCTTGCGATGGCGGAGCGACCAGCAAGCAATGGCTGTCACTCAGCCACTGTGATATGGCCAGCCCTGACCAGGATGATGACCCCGGCTAACTCAAGTGCGTGCTGCTCACCCCCAACCCCTACCCCCTCACCTCTCTCTCTCTCTCTCTCTCTCTCTCTCTCTCTCTCTCTCTCTCTCTCTCTCTCTCTCTCTCTCTCTCTCTCTCTCTCTCTCTC